TTTATGCACCAAGAGCTTGTAACACTCCAAAGAGAAAGGAAAAAATTAAATCGCATCATATGACCCCTTTAAAAAAATGTAGAGGCATTGCAGGGATTTGCAATGACTTTCCCTTTATTCTGTAGTTCATCAAAACTATGTGGGGACGGATGCTGAGAAGAACCCCTTCTTCCTGTCTGTGGTTCTGTCAGACCAGAACAACCAAAGGGTCCCACAGTATCGAGCCATCCTCTGGCGCAAGACGGTGAGTCAGCCAGTGACAGGTAACAGCATGTGTGTGCGTCACTTTTGCTCTGTGCAGTGACTCACATAACAGATTGACCTCTTCATGAAGTGACTCTACATTGTCTCAAAGGCCAGTATGTGAAGACTAAATGCCTAAAAAAACATGAATTATATGTCACTTTCCAATGAGCAACAAGGTCTCGGTTATAAAACCCTGGGTCATAGCCTCCAGCAATACTGGCTTGTTATGCCGTGTCATATTTCACTTCATGTACGTATTAATTTGTGAAATGTGTCCTTCTCCTTCAGGGTACTCTAAAAATCAGCCTTCCCTACAGTCCAACAAAAACACTATCAGTCAAATCTATATTAAGGTAAGTCTGTTTGTCACGCATCCTACTTGCCTGTAAACAAATGCACATGAGAAGATTTCATTTGAGTGAAATAGATAAAAATGCATTCATTTGACCCTTTCACCTTCCAGTGCCATGAATGTGGATCGTTTTGAAAAGGGCCCGAGGGAGATCCTTAACCCAGAGATTCAGAAGGTGCCCACCCACACCTGTCAATCAACATCACGTCATCTGCTCTGTTAATTACTGTCTATTTCTGCTCTGGTTTGTTGTTCTGCTTCATAATCACTTTAGGATTCAAATGCAGGCACAATCTGAGCTGCTGTTGCTCCAGAGAGCTTTGCTTTTGTGGAAATGTGTGCCGCTAATCAAAGGCGATTGTCAGTGGCATTCAGATATTTGAATGCATGAACACGCTCTCTGTAATGTTTGTGTAACCCACACTATTAGTGCTCCTAACTGGTGTTTAGAAATTTAACCTCGATGGAAACTGAATGTTTTATTGTAAAGAGATATAATTGATGTTTTGAACTGTTTTTCAATTGTTGGCAGGACTTACTGGTGCTGGAGGAGCAAGAGGTGTGTAATGTCAGATGTGTGTATGTGTTTGATTTGTGTATGGAATGAAAATAAATGACCTTCTTAATGATTTCTGAATCCATTTTTTAATGAATTCCCCCTGAATGCTCATCTCCTGTTTGTATGTTCTTACAGGGCAGTGTAAATTTTAAATTTGGTGTTCTTTATGCCAAAGATGGACAGCTGACAGATGATGAAATGTTCAGCAATGGTGAGCACAGAACCACTCATAACATGCTCATAATACTAAATATTTCTTTCCCTTTCTACTGACGACATTTGTGCTACACACTGTTTTAGCAACAATTAGCAACAGCCAAATAGACATCGATTTTTGTAGTTGAATATTGTTTCAATCAGAAATATACCATATTAAGGATGCACAATGCAATTAATTCACATGAATTTTAGAATGTGAGCAGCATAAGGTAGCTACCTTGATGTCATTTCAATTTATTAATGCTCTGTGTTCATGTTGTTGTTTTTTTCAGAATCAGGAAGTGAGACTTTCGACAAATTTCTGAATCTCCTTGGCGACACGATCTGTCTGCAGGGCTGGGCAGGGTATCGAGGAGGACTGGACACTAAGAGTAGGACAGATACACATAAATAAAAAATTTCTTTACAGATCAACAGAGGAATTTTTTTTTACCCTTTCAAGTGATTTTTGCACATTCATGTTTTTTTCTCTCTCTGTTTAGACGACACTACAGGAATAAATTCCATCTACACAGTCTATCAGGGTCATGAGCTCATGTTCCATGTTTCCACCATGTTACCTTATTCTAAAGAGAACAAGCAACAAGTAAGTTGTGGCTTAACATAAGCTACATAACACACAGCTTGGTACTATATTGTTTTCGACCGATATTGGGGGTTTTTACACTACCATATAAAAGTTTGGGGTCTGTAAGATTTTAAATGTTTCTGAAAGAAGTCACCAAGGCTGCATTTATTTGATCAAGAACACAGTAAAATGTTAATATTGTGAAATATTTGTACAGTTTAAAATAACTGTTTTTAATTGAATGTGTCCTTGCTGAATAAAAGCATTCATTTCATTAAAAAAAAATCTTACTAACCCCAGACTTTCGAACAATCCAGCGGTTTTATACATCAGTCAGTCCTGGATATATATCAGCCAATAATGAATATTTAATTTTTCATGCTTATTACCTTTCCTATTATTTTTACTTTTAGCTTAACTGTCATAATTTAAAGCTCTCGTAGAGTTAACCTTCAAACACACCAATAATTTAATAACACTGTTAAATGTAATTTTAGCAAATCCTAAAATACCCATTTTTCACACTGTACATTATAATTGTGTGGTGCCTAAATTCACATGTAGCATTTGAAATGACTAATTTAACTCTTTTTAATAGACGAAATAGTATAGAATTTTAATATCTGCCGTTATCAACCATAGCATGACAATATTTATCAGATTTTCTTATCATCAGTATCATTATCGGCCCATGTCTGATATGATCACTATCCAAATGGGATTTTCTAAAACCAGTCGTGTCCAAATAGACACGACTATAGACACATTCGGGTTCCAATAACCACCAAAAACAACACATCTATGTAAAACTACAAATAGAATGAGAGAAAGACAAATAGAGAGCAGAGGACACAGACAGAGAGGAGGAGGAATCAAAGAGAAATCTGAATGATCTGAGAAGGGAGCTGCATGTGTTTGTTGAGGCACAAAGGAGGCAGTCTGTAGCTCAGTAGGTGGTGAGGGGAAATCAGGCTATATTTAATATCCAGAAGCACTGGACATCACAGCAGTCAGTCTCTCCCTCTCTTTTCTCTGTTGCCTTTCCCCCTTCCCCCCTCAGCTCCATATCCTGATTACATCAAGCGTCAATCACTTCACTCTCTCTCACTTCATATCCCTCTCTTCTCTTGATTATATCACACAGTAATCCTTCTTTCTCTCTTTCTATCCTTCTGTTTCTCACTTTTTCTGATCAGATCATATGATTGAGTACAAGTAGTGCTCTTGTGCACTGGAGTGCTTGTGGAAGCATTCACAATAGCAGGATTTTCAAAGTATTTCTGTCGGTTCAAGGTCTCGGCACTCTACAGCCGAGAGCCTCTTCAGCCCTTCATGTCAATAACTACCTTTACCATTGCTGAACCGCTCATGAAATGAGCAGGAAAGCTGATGCACTCTAAAAGTCTCTTGCTGACCCCTAAAAGCATGCAGACAAACCAAATAGTCAGAAGACTCAGAAATCAAGTAGAGTTCACAAGGAAGAGTGAGTCTTTTCTTGAAAGAAAACTCTTCTTAAAGTTAGCGTTGACCAAAAAAAAGAATGAAAATTCAGTCATTTTCTCACCCTCACGTCGTTCCAAACGTGAATGAGTTTCTTTCTTCTGTGGAGCTCAAAAGAAGTATTTAAGAACCTTTACAGCTATTTTCCATCAAGGACAGTTCATAGTGAATTCATGGCTCCAAAAAGAAAAAAACATGTCATACAAGCACCATAAAAGTGACTTGTGTGGTATATTTCAAGTACTTTGAACTCATGCGTTTTGTGTGAGGAATATTTTTGAATCTGTAACCTTTCTGAATCGGCAACACTTTACTGAATGTGTAAATAGCTGTAAATGACAACACAAGTCATTATTTACTAATTCAAAAATGTCACAAAAAATGCACAAAAAACTATTTGCACACGAAGCAGTGTTTCCATCCCATGTGTTCAAGGGAATGTAATCGTCAATGAATAACCAGAGCAGCATTTGAGGTGCTATGCAATTATATTGGTCTGATGATATTTTCTTCTTCTCTCCAGTCAAATGAATTTTGTTGAGGCAAAGCCAAATAATTGTTTTTAGGAAATTTTATTCCCAATTTTGGAAATTGTATTCATGTTATTCACAAAAATTCTACTGTGGCATGAACACCATACAGGTTTGGAAAAACATGAGGGTGAGCAGTTTTTTGGGTTAACTGACTGATCCTAGAAGGCTCAACCCTGCTTGTCAGATGCTAGAAACATGTGGGAGTCAGTCATGAAAGCCTGTTGGTATTGTTCAAGTGTTATACAGTATGTCATTGGAAGGATGCTCTTGTGTAAGGAAGAGGGGAAGTGGCAGAGAATCATAATTGAGCTCACAGTAGAAATGAATCCGTCACTGCAATAAGTAAATATTCATTCCGGTCACAGCTCACGGTCCCACCCATGTATCTGTGTCTGGATGCGTGTGTGTGTGTGTGTGTGTGAGAGAGAGAGAGAGAGAGATACTGGTGCAGAGGGCCAGGTGAAAAGCAGCCATGCAGTAATTGAGCTTTAAGGGGATGTTTTGTGTGTGTGTGTGTGTGTGTGTGTGTGTGTGTGTGTGTGTGTGTGTGCTCTTGAGATAAAAGATAAAAGCTCCTTTCCGACCATAATGGTCCAGACTCATTAACAAGCTCAATTATGCTTTCTGGCTAACAGGCTTGAGGTGTCAGAGGTCATATAGCAGCTTTTGAATGTCCACACATGCACACAGGCCAAACGCACCAACAAACCCACACACATAGGCATGTGCTCTTTTCAAAATGAAACTTTTATCCTTCATTTGTTCATGCTGGAGAGAAAAAAAATGGTTTAATACTTTCAGGAAACAAAAGCAGCCTTTTGAAATGTGCTTCATGAATGCATGATTATAGCTTTCATTCTTGTACTCTATGCAGGTAGAGAGGAAGAGACACATTGGGAACGACATCGTGACCATCGTGTTTCAGGAGGGAGATGACGCCTCTCCATCCTTCAAACCCTCTATGATTCGCTCCCATTTCACACGTATCCTTCATCCTCAAGCTGAGTGGAAATGATGCAACGAGTCACTCAATGACAGTGACATTAGACTATTTATGGGTGATGTTTTTTTTCTTTACAAGACAAAGGTTAAAAAAATTCATATAAATTAATTTAGATTTTTGTGTAAATTAGTTTTGCACATCAAGCAATTCTATGATTTCCTTTACGTACCCCACAGATATTTTTGCCTTAGTTCGATATAATAGCCAGAATGATAGTTACAGGTAAAAACGTTTATTTGTATATTAAAAGTATGTTAAATGTTGTTTTAATAATATATTAAATATCATTATATTGCATATACACTACTGGTCAAAAGTGTGGGTTAAGTAAGTAAATGAAATTAATACTTTTATTCAGCAGGGATGCATTGAATTGATCAAAAATGAAAGTAAAGACATTTAGAATGTTACAAAAGATTTCCCATTTCAAATCATTCTTGTTCTTTTGACCTTTCTATTTATCAAAGAATCCTTAAATTATGATGAGCTCTAATATTAAGCAGCACAACTGTTTTCAAAGTCAGCATATTACTATGCTTTCTGAAGGATCATGTGACACGGAAGAAGTAACGGCTTTGTCTTCACAGGAATAAATAATATTTTAAAATATATTACAATAGAAAAGTTATTTTACATTCTAATAATATTTTAGACTTCAAAAACATAAAAAAAAAACTATTTGAATGGTGTTGTATATTATTTGTACCTTAATCATTTTGTTATGTTGCAGGTTGAAGATTTTCTCAGAGGAGAGTGTGCCGCTGTTTGGCCCTCCCCTCCCTTCCCCACCAGTGTTCACAGACCACCAGGAGTTCAGGGACTTTTTACTAGTTAAATGTTAGTAAATTCACCAGTACATAGAGCTATACACAGCATGAAATCAGTTGTTTTCATTCATAAGCCAGCTGTGAACACCAGCCATATCACAGACTATTAATAATAATTCAAGGCATAAAATCTAAGTCTACTAATGTTTCAAGTCACAGTGATTTTTTTTCCCCAGTCAAAAATAGATTATATTACATAATTTTGAATCCATTCCAAATGCATTCCTGTTGTCTGCAGTACACAGATCTCCTGTTAGAATGTACACCTGTGTTTTTCTCTTGCCAGCTTTAATGATTTGTTTTGGCTCATGAACTCCGTAAAGCAGATGCTTTCATTAAACAGACCTTGTAAAATGTGTCATGCTGTTTCCTAAGGGTAATTCTGTTACATAATACTGCTACCTTTATCCCTCTGTCTCCTATAGTAATAAATGGAGAAAAAGCCACTCTTGAGACCCCCACTTTTGCTCAGAAACGTCAGCGTACGCTGGACATGCTGATCAGATCCCTGTACCAGGATCTCATGCCTGACATGCCCAAGGTATGGACACAGTGTTTCTCAATTAGGGGGCCTCAGCCAACTTCCAAGGGGGCCTCAAGATGATTTATATATATATATATATATATATACTATGAGGAAGCCAAATTTTAAAAGTGTGATTCCTAGACCTGAAAATACAACCTTTTAATTCCAACTTTTTTTTCAAAATGAATGCACATTTTTCTAGTTATGCCAAGCTCTAAAATATTTTTTCGGTTAGAAATTGTAAACGATATATTTAAAAAAAAATCCCTATCCACTGAAATTACAAACAAGAGCCATGGGGCCTTCAAATATTATTGTGGACAATGAGGGGCCTTGGAGTCAAAAAGGTTGAGAAGCACTGAATTAGCACAATACTTTTCTGTATTTCACTATGTATATCCTCAAACTTTGACCTCAATTAATTTTTCTGCCATATATTTTCAGATGTTTTGCACTGATGTTTCTTCACACATTTCTCTTTTAGTCTTATATACCACTCTTCCAAACCACTGAGCTTTTAAATGCAATTTCATTCTGTTGCAGTCCCCTGTTAGCTGGCACTAGAGATGGACACTGTCTTTTTATTGTTGTCTATTACCGTTTCTATTGTAGAGTTCTTCTATTCTTCATTTAATAGGGTTGGGAATCAAGAACCGGTTCCATTTATTTTAATAAAAGAGTAAGACTTTAACTGAATAATACAAAGACTAAACTGACAGTAAACCTTTCTGTTGTTTTTCTCTCATATGCAACAACAAGCAAACAGTTCAACCGATAAGGTTTTATTTTTTTAACAAATTAATCTTAGACCTTGAGTCAGATCTTTATCAAAAGGAATCATAAATGAGTATTGTATAGTATACATCTTTTTAAAAAGGGGAAAGGTGCTGCTGAAAGAGTGATTAACAGAATTCACGGAACAAGAATTGTGAAGTAGAGTCAGAATTTGAACATTATTTAATTCCTGTCTCTATCTACGATGGCTGGTAATGTACAGTGGTGTAAGAACTTGTTAGTTTCTGCTTTGCTCTGTCTTTCTGGCAGTTTCTGGGTCAGTCTCTCAGACCCATCTTTATCTGTACCGCTCCTGCAGGTTCCCTTCTCTCCGCAGAACATGCTGAACCGACGCTCATTCAGCGACGTACTGCCAGAGTCACCCAAATCCGCCCGTAAAAAAGAAGAGGCACGCCAGGCTGAGTTTGTTCGAGTGGGACAGGTAGGATGTAGAAATACGAATAAAATATAAAGATGTGGCATGAAAGACAATGTCACAATATGAGTAATGTCATTAATAGATATAATATTGCGTCCAGGCCTTGAAGCTGAAAACTATAGTTCGAGGGGATGCACCCACCAGTTTAGTCACCACTGGTCTTTGCAGGAAAGAGGTGAGAGGGCAAGAGGAAAGTGAGATGGATGCTGTTATTTTGCTTTCGGTTCATCTCTAACTGCCGCAGAACAGAACCGACGCTCATTCAGCGATGTACTGCCAGAGTCGCCCAAATCCGCCCGTAAAAAAGAGGAGGCACGTCAGGCTGAGTTTGTTCGAGTGGGACAGGTAGGATCTATAACGAATTTATATATACATGCATGCATACATACACATATATATATATATATATATATATATATATAAGATATGAATGTATAAAAGTTAATGTCACAATATGAGTAATGTTATAATAATAATTATAATAACTATAATATTGTGTCCAGGCCTTGAAGCTGAAAACTATAGTTCGAGGGGATGCGCCCACCAGTCTAGTCACCACTGGCCTTTGCAGGAAAGAGGTGAGAGGGCAAGAGGAAAGTGTTATTTTGCTTATGGTTCATCTCTAACTGTGTGTTGCTATGTTCTGTGCAGCCATGGGAGTCACAGTCGTTCTGCAGTAGCTTCCCGTATGATATAGTCTGTGGAGATTCATGGGGACAGTCATTACTGGTCGCCACAGATTCAGCAGGGGTCATGCTGCTGGAGGGTGAGAATGCTTTTTCATGAGAAACGACACAATTGGTCAGTGTAGCAGTTTTCTTAAAAATGACATGTAAAGACAGACTGAATGTAACTTTTAGCTGCTTTTAGATGCATCAAATTAATGGACAAATTAATGGAAAAATGTGGAACACAAAAAGAAACTTTGATGCCACTTTTTTTCCATACAATAAAAGGAAACAGCAAGCAGGGGCTGTCAAATTATAAATGACAGAAAGCACAAAAATTCTAGCGCCAGCCATTTTTTGCACCAGGTTTCAACGTGAACATCCTGCTTAACATTTTTGTGGTCTATGGAAGAAAGAAAATCACACAGGGTTGGAATGTGAGCATGAAAAAAATGAAATATACACTACCATTCAAAAGGGGGTCGGTAAGACTTTTAAATGTTTTTGACAGAAGTCTCTTATGCTTACTCAGGCTGAATATCAAAAATCTAGTAAAAACAGGAATATTATGAAATATTTTTACAATTTAAAACAACAGTTTTCAATTTTAATGTTTTAAAATGTAATTTATTCCTGTGATGGCAAAGCTGAACAGTCTTCATTGTCACATGATCCTTCAGAAATCTTTCTAATATGCTGTTTTGCTGCTCAAGAAACATTTAATTTAATTATCAGTGTTGAAATCTGTTGTGTGTCAGCGCTGATAGCCGCTTGGCAGCACGCTGATATATAGCACCATTGTGCTACGGGCATTTCGAGTTTGAATCCCCGATCGTGGACCTTTCCCGATCCCGTCCCCTTCTCTCTCTCCCACTTAGCTTCCTCTCAATACTTACTGTCCTATCAAAAATAAAGGCAAAAGGGCAGAAAATAAAATTAAAAGGAAAGAAACAAAACAGTTGTGCTGCTTAATATTCTTATGAAAACAATGCTTTTTCTGGATTTTTTCATGAATAGCCTTCAATGAATAATCCTTTTTTTCAGGATTCTTCAAAAGAATATTATTTATAATAGAAACATTATTTTGTAACATTATAGATCACTTTAATTGCACTCTTGATAAAAGTATTGAATTCTTAAAAAAAAAAAAAAAAACTTACTGACCCCAGACCCTTGTACAGTAGTGTACATAGCACATTCATGTTTTTTTAAACTAAATAACTGAAATCTGATCACCTCTGTCTTTCCTTTTAGCCTCAGATCCACTCTTCTCCAATGCAGGTATGTAATGCAAAACCACAACACTACAGTAAAAATAAATGCTTATAAATAATATTACAAAAAATGTATAAATGTACCCAGTACCCATTTTTGCAGCGATAGTTATCAAATGTGTCTGTTAATCGAAGCAAGTGAATCTCAGTGGGGGATTGAGTTACCATGCAAACCACAAACTATTCTTGTTTTGCATGCTGGTCTAGATTCACCAACCCTGCCTCCGGTGCAGGTATTTGACAAAACCTTGACTGTAAAACAAATGCACGTGCTTGAACCTCAGGACCTCCTCATTGCAAGAGCAGATAAGGGTAAGATATGTGTTTGTTTTTATATTTATATGAGCATATGATTATGGCACTGTTCTTATGTGGGTAGAAGAAAGGGTGTGAAATTATCTGCCAAAAGAGAGAGACCGTGAGAAAGAAAGAGGCCAAAGCAAAGTGGCAAAGGAAACTCTTGGTATTTGCTCTAATGAGCATCTTTAGCCAACAGGGCCTAGCACAAAATGGTATCTCCAACACACACACAGGCACTATCTCTGGTTTGCATTGTCTAGACTTAGAGCTCATTATAAAGAGAAGCCCAGAGTAGAGATCCATGTAATTTAGAGTCTACCGCCATCTTCTATTCTGATCATTAGTTCAAGACGGTGTACAACAAACTCTCACTCTTATTGGAAAGCACAGCTTCTGCGGAGGGAAAATAATGAATCCGTTATCAACTCGGTCACCAAGCAACTTTCATTCACTACTACAGGCATTTGAAAACCAAACATGTTGCATAAGCTGAGATGTCATTCAGTTTGATGAGACGGGTCTCTCATTTGTTGCTAGCCTATTATCATATAGTAAAGGGCTTTTCACACTGAAAGCGAAAATTCGGCGCGAATGTTCGGCGCGATGACGCTTTTAAATCGAAACAATAGATCCCTATGGGGCTATTCACACCAGGCGCGATCATTCGCTGTGCGAAAAAGCGAGGATTTTTTTTTTCGTCCTGCGTGTCGATTTTTTCCCCGTCGCTCCACGATGAAACGGGCCGTCCAATCAGATTTGAGCTTAGATCACGTGCCCAGAGCAGCTGCTGTTGCACAAGTGGTGGCGCTGTTTCGAAAATCAGTGTAAACAAACACCGAAGAAGAGTATCCCGATAGAGACAAGAGAGTGGATGCCGAGTTCCTGTTATTTTTGGTATATGAGAACGTCTCAGGTTACTTATGTAACCATGGTTCCCTGAGTAGGGAACGAGACACTGCGTCCTCTAGGGGTCGCTATGGGGAACGCCTCGTCGTGACCCGTGTCTGAAGCATACATTGAAAAAACACCAACTCGTTGGCCGGCGACAGCCATGACGTACTACCGGTGCGACTATAGTGTAAATAGGCGCCGGGAGCACACATCATCCTCTTCTTCGTCTTCACTGACTGTTTTGTTTGAAGCGTGCATTTCTGTGGTAAGAGCAATCTCTATTCAT